CATTAAAACCCATTACAAACGAGGCATTTGTTGCATCCAGTGTGATGACTTCCACGCTCTGGAGTGATTCAAGTGCCAGTAAAACCAACTGCAGTCGTGCTCGTGCATATGCGTTTCAAAACAGCTGTAACGCAGCATTCTATGTAGGCGTTCTGCGCAAGCGCAGTGTGAAACAGTGGACGCTATAACAGGAAGAAGCTCCAGCGTATCAACTATCAACTACCAAAGTCCTCTGTTTATCGAGCTTGGCATGAATATATTTGATAGTAACTGGGGTAAAACCTTAAGCTTCTTCACTGTTTTTGTTGTGGCTCTCGCTGCTGTTTTTAATTATCTGGAGAATTCAGAGACTGACGAGATCCCAAGGTGAAGTATTCATTACAGACCACTACTGTCACTTCTATTAGCCTACTATGTATCCTACTATGCAATAATGGTCAGTATATTGTTGATTTGTCCTGTCTGTGCTGGCAATATGTTTTTTCTGCAGTACGTGATCTTTTTGATTCTCGCTCATAGCTGTCTATGAACGACCACACCAATTTTCCCTCGTTATTGTATTTAGGTAAATATCATCATCAAATATAAAAAAAAAAATACAGAGGGAGAATTTGAATCAGAGAGATAAAGAATAAAATAAAGACTCAAATAACAACAATTAAAAAAAATTGTCAAAACATGTAGGCTATGCATGAAATAAGTCGACTGGACGTGGCTGAATGCAATAATTCAGTTCAGTAAATTTGCTTATAATATTTCTCGAGTTCGTAGGTCAGGTCAACAAACAACACCTTTGCTGGAACCGACTGTATTGTCACGTGGTAGGCCCTATTCGATACTTTTCTCAGCATGGACAATGAAATCACAGTTGATTGTAATTATATATACTGGATAAGGATGTTTAAAAATCATTTGATAGAGATTTCTGAGGCGGATTTATTTACATTAGCATGTCAGGTACCAAATACTGGCATTAATGGATTTCAACAATTCCAGACCTGTATTACATACTTTTCTCAGCATGGACAATGAAATCACAGTTGATTGTAATTATATATACTGGATAAGGATGTTTAAAAATCATTTGATAGAGATTTCTGAGGCGGATTTACATTAGCATGTCAGGTACCAAATACTGGCATTAATGGATTTCAACAATTCCAGACCTGTATTACAGATATTACAGTAGACAATCGGCCTGAGATTTGAATGAGGTTCAGTGAGCCTTGTGCGAGCGCCGCGTTGAGGATCAACTCATGAAGCAGTTATTACGAATAATACACCTGTTTATTTTAGTGCACCTGTGCAAATTCTGCACTGTCATGGTGATGTTGCGAGATTCAAACGGTTGCTTATGCACTCATTTCTTCATTACAGAATGGATCTGAACGCGATGGAGGAGAATTACCGGCAGAAGAACAGAACGTGCTTCATTCTCGGCGCTTCCGGTGAGACTGGAAAGGCCCTGCTGAAGGAAATAGTCGAGCGCAACATCTTCTCCAAGATCACTCTCATTGGACGAAGGCAGTTAACCTTTGAGGATAAAGCCTATGAAAATCTGGTAATGTGTCGAGTCTGAGAATGTTATTGTGTCCATGTACAGTACCCCATAATAAGTTTGGACACTTATTCGCGCTTAAAAATGTATGAATTTCATTGCATACCAAATATCAAATCAAGTGGCTTAAAGGGGGAGCTCACCCAAAAATGAAAATTCAGTCAACATTTACTCACTCTCAAGTTGTCCCAAACGTCAAACCTGTATGAATTTCTTTCTTCTTTTGAAATAAAATGTTGGTAACCAATGTTGATGATAACCATTGACTTCCTTAGACTGAATTTTCATTTCTGGGTGAACTATCCTTTTAAAGAATGACAGCACAGCACAAGGTTTAATATTTTGTTGTTTAATGCAATGCATAAAAAAAAAATGTTCTCATGATTTTATTCTGACTGTTTATTGTCCTCCTTGTTCTCGTCAGGTGCAAAAGGTGGTTGATTTTGAGAAGCTAGACGAATACGCTGAGGCTTTTCATGGCCATGATGTTGGATACTGCTGTCTAGGAACAACCAAGGCCAAAGCAGGAGCTGTATGTTTCAGATGTGATCATTTTGTGAACTGTATAAATGCATGAAGGATTTTCTGCTGAACCTTAGTTATTTCAACTTTAGAAATATAAGAATATGTTTCCCCCCCCCCATCAATATTTGTATAACACTCACGAAAAAAATAAAAATCGCTGCGCTCAACTAGGGCTGGACAATAATTCAATATCAATATGTATCGCGATATAATTTTTTTCAATAACGGTGATATGATTTTTAAACACATTTCCGATATTTCGATATACATTGCCAGTGTTTCCCATAAATTGATTTATTTGTGCCGCCCGCCACAATATCAAAACTGACCGCCACAAA